CCTCCCTCCCTCACATTCCCACACTCCGCCTATATTTTAAGGAGAACTTTTATCGATTTTTCGTATTGCCGACATGTTTAACTTCTACCTCGTTCCCATATAACTGTACTGGCCCGACGAGAATTTATCGAAAGCTGCGTATGCTCGCCACCTCGTCTTCTTATTTCTGCAATGGGAATTTTCGATGACGTGCGTTGCAAACTCCCTCTGAAAAAACCGATTTAGCGTATCAGTCTAGTATCAAACTGCCCAAGCAGTTCTTTACAATGCTCCAGCTTCTCGGTACTGCCAATTGATAGCGCCTGCGTAAGAGCAACACACTTGCGATATGAGCGGCAATGACGCTGTTGATCCACCGATGTGTCGCATCCTTCGCATCTGCGTCGGGCAGCTCCACAAGATTGTCGAAACCTGCTTGTCTTTTATTTTACCTAATTCCTCTATGGTAAGTAATTGGATAATTTCATACTACTGCTCGTCTGTTGACGCATTGGCAATATTACGCGGTTATTTCGAAGGAGCTGATGGAATCCAACCTAAATATTAATACCAGCTTTCGAGCTGAGCCGGTAAACGCCTCCTCCGAAGAATTTAGTCCAAGTTCGCGCACAAATTTCCTTGGAAATTAAACAGGACAAGAAGTTCATCGTGCTGACTTCCGGTCATTGTTGTCCAAGCACGAGGTACGTACAAGCTCCTAGTTTACGTGCGACTGTGTTTAATCATTGGACGCAGGAATATTCGGCGTGGGGAATCACTTAGTTGAGTCGCACGCGGCCCAAACATCCAACTGGTAAAGGGAGTTTGGTCTCTGTCGCCACGCCGAGTCGTCTGTGGCAACTTCACGACACCTGCCACTTACGAGTCTGCGCCCTCCCTCCGCGGCTGCCATCAACGGGCTCCCCCAAGCTGAAACTAACACTGGCCTGGATCTCCCTCCTTTCCTTCCAGAAACCATCCGTGCCGTGCAAAAACTGTCCAACGTAAAGGCATCAGGCTCCAATGTGATCAGAGCTGAAATCTACAATCACGTCACGCCTCCAGAAGATGTGTCGCCGAGGACAGGTCCCTCAGAATTTCTTCGCACACCTCCTTCTCAATCGTTTTAATAGTCACCCAGAGGAAGGACTACTCGAGAGCCAATGTTGCTTCAGACGATAGTGCGGAATCACTGACATGATATTCGCCGATCGTCAACCACAAGATAATTGTCAGGAGATGTGGCACCTTCACACTACTTCCGTGGGTCTGACGAGAGCCTTCAACATGGTAAAGCGCTATAGACTGGAAAATCATGCGGAAATTCGGCTGTCGTGAGCGATTCACGCACATGGTTTGTCAGCTCTACGGTCAACGGACGATCTCCGAGGCATTTTCAGTGACCAGTGGAGTGAAGCAGGGTAGCGTGCACTATGCTGTCCGCTATGCTGATGGACGGCCACCGTGATGAGCGCGTAGTGGTCCAACTCCTGGCGCATGGTGCAACGCCGTGCCTCTCACGACTACTTGTACGTGAGTACCAATTGCCGGCTGGTTCTCAGCCTATGCTGGCTGTTTAAACTGGCTAATCATCTTCGAGGTTGATTCTGACATGACCTCGCTGAAGTCGCTGGACAGCTACCCCACTGTCTTACTTGTAGACGCCGCTCACGCGGCGTCGGACGCGCCCTCGTCCGACCGCCAACTCTCTCCAACCCCTTCTCTAATTATTCTGTACAGAATACAACATCCTTCCAGCCGGCGTCCCACTCATTCTCTTTCTGTCGTAGTAGCTAGGCTATCCCTATAGCTTATGCTACCGCGATAAGCGCCCTTGGATAAGCATGGCTTTCAGGACTGAGGGGCATCTTCTCAGCAACAGGCTCTTGCAGACATCAGCATTGCTATATACGACTACAGTCTACGATCTGCTCTTCGCGGAAGACTGCATACTCAACATCACCACCGGAGAAAACATGCAAAGGAGCGCGGACATTTCGGCCGCCTGATGCCCAAAATTTGGACTAACACTCAACACGGACAAAACGGATGTCATGCACCAGCCCTCACCCAACACGGAGTACAACAGTCCTCGAATCAAAGTCAACGGCAGCCAACTTAAAATCGCGGTCAACTTTGCTTATCGAGGAAGCACACTCTCCCGCAGCACGAAAAGGACTGAAACAACAGTCATAATGACAAACGAATACAGATTAATGAGTGAGTCTCGGATATTTAGATAATCTTAAGATTCAAGGTCATAACCATTTTAAGAGAAGTTCTTCGCCGGCTACTTCAGACTCAGTCTTCTAGATAATAGACCGCTGCGGCAGGCCTTACAGTTATCAAGTAGGCTGCGTACTTTTCACGAACATTTCGTCCCTTCTAAATTCAGTCAAGTTATACTGGCTAATCACCTTAATTTGAGCAACGAGTAAATTTTTATTTAAAGAATCCAAAACATTAAAATGACGGAGATTAAAGACGTTCATTATTTCGAAACACCGATTGACGAATGTACTTTGGAGCTGACTTAGCATAGTGCTGACCTTACAGGGTCAGCGGAAGTAAGCTGGCAGTTTTCACCAGCTGGTCCGGATAGCACTGCCCTATGAATTATCGGGTTTAAAATGTACGTAAGACTATGAAATAACGACAAGTGTGTTTGCGGCACACAAGTAAACGTTTTCACTTCAGGGAAGCTCGGTATTGGTTAATAATTCTATAGGCTGACCGGTTGACTTTTTTAAGAGCAATACCCCAACACTTAGATAAGGATGCCACTATTGGGGTTTCAGTAGCAATAACATTGTGTTTGAAATCTGGCTTTGTCTGTGTGGCATTTTCAGGTTATAGGCACACCAAACACGACACTTAATATCTGACACACTTAAAACCCTTTCACGTAGTTTCCTTGGCATCCCTAACGTTTATTAGGCACCAGCGTTCTTAAAAATCGACAGAGGTACATTTTCGCGAATTCTTCCTTAAATCTAACTTTTTTAAAATAATTTACTCGTAAGGTACTTTCTCCCTGAGAGTCAAACCCTGTTAAACGAAAGTTCCTCCATGCTGTATTGCAAGTAAAATATTTCTTAAATACTTTGGATCTAAATTCTACTCACCTCTTTTCGGCTTCTTTCAAAATCCTACAGTAAACGATGCTGGGAAACCACCTACTTTTCCTAATTTCATCGGTAATCGTTAGAGGGCATTCCACGAAACTGGAGCTGTGATATTGCTTCTTGAAGTTCTCATTGGTTTAACGGGTATCATTTAACCTTTGCCCCTAAAGTAAGGTAGAAAGATTGCCAAGAGAGGTTTTAATGTAGATTGAACAGGCGACTGATGACCAGCGTTCCGTTCATGCTTCTGTCCTTCGTCTTCACCCATGGGTTGTTCGGTCCCTTACGTGATAGACAGGAAAATTGAGGGCGTCATGACCAAAGAGTCAGGTTTAATTCATTGTTGCAGACATCTAGTTAAGATTTATTCGTTTGCATAACGGCTTGATGAGAAAACGCATTTTCATCTCTTTTGGATATCACCTACGGTAATAGGCACAAAAGCCATGCTAACACAGCATTAACTAATCGTAGGTCAAAGAATGATACCGCAGCTGTTTTTGACGTAGGTTCATCGACGATTTTGCACACAAATCTGGCCTGTAGCCTTGTAATCAACAGCTGTATCGACAGTTCGACCGTCGTGACCGACGATGTCCACCGTGTTCTCCACAGCAGGGTGAAAGTAGGGACGGTGACTTACGCGTGAGTTGGTTTATAGTGATAGCAAACTTGCGTTGCATCTACCGCATTCTCTCCTCCTCCCCCACCTGGATCCGATGTCAGGACAAGGCCAAGAAGAGCGAGGGTAGAAGAAGGCGCTGGTAGCTGCCACGACGAAAATCCGCACATAGGCGTACTATCACACCGCCTGGTCCACAACGCACACTGACTAGGATTTTATGGCACAGGGCAAAAGGAGTGGTGGCGGCTCGGATCCCACTTGACGCGGCGGGAGCCTGCGCCCGGACGTGCCACC